CCGCCCACACCGCCCCGCCCCGCCCCGCACACGCGGCTCCCCCACCGCCCCCCAGCTTGCGCACAGCAGCAGGACCTCCCGGCAGCCGAGAGCAGCAAGCAGCCCTGCGGACACAGCAGCCCTGTGTGAACACATGGAGGCTATTTCGTCACTGAATCACAGACTGATTCGGATCAAAAGGGAAGCTCATCTTGGAGCATGGGCAGGGACACCTTCCACTAGACCAGGTTGCTCCAACCACCATCCAGTCTGGCCTTGAACACTTTAAGGGATGGGGCAGCCACAGCTTCGCTGGGAAACCTGTGCCAGTTGAGCCCCACTAAAGAATTTCTTCCTAATATCTGATCAAAATCTACCTTCCTTCAGCTTAAAGCCATTCCCCCTTGTCCTGTCACACCAGGCCCTTATCCCCAGTTCCTCTCCAGCTCTCCTGGAGCCCCTTTAAGCACTGGAAGGGGCTCTAAGGTCTCTCCGGAGCCGCCTTTTCACCAGGTTGAACACCCCCAGCTCTCCCAGCCTAGCTGCAGAGCAGAGGGGCTCCAGCCCTTGGAACAGCCCTGGACTCATTCCAGAAGGTCCATGTCTTATACTGGGGGACCCAAGCGCTGGAAGCAGCACTGCACGTGAGGTCTCACCTGAGCAGAGCAGAGAGGCAGAATTCCCTCCCTTGCCCTGCTGCCTAGGCTGCTGGAGATCAGCCCAGAACACAGGGGGTTTCTGGGCTGCCAGCACACATTGCCAAGACATACCAAGCTTCACATCCACAAAGCATTAAAATTTTAGTCTTCCTGTCACCTTCCAAGGTCTGGGAATTTTCCTAACCATGTCCTCTCTCAAGTTTCTACCTTAAACAAGCAGAAAAAGCTGGCGAGGCAGGGAATGGGAAACTGGCTCTCCAACCTTTGGGCAGGACACTGCTGATCAGTGCCCACAGATGCCTTTGAGGAGAGGACTGCCAGAGATGTTCTGTTCTGGGTTCCCTTGTCTCAAGTATTTGAACAGTATTTGCTAAAGATAACAGGTAATTTTCTTGCCTCTCTCCTTAAAACTGATCATCCCTTGGAAGGACTGATGGCTGGTCCAAGCAGACCTACCTTGTCATGAAGCTGGTTTGTACTGGCTGATCACATGGCTGTGTAGACACTATAGGAGTATTGAGGTACCTGGAAGGCAGAAGCTGCACAAGAAGACTCAGGGGTGATTTCAACCATTCTCAGGAAGACAGGAAGCAACTGGAGGCTGTAGGTCTGCAAGGTGTAGATGATGTGTTCCAGATGTCTGCCCAGCAGGAATGTGAGAAGGCAGGTCAGCAGCACACACTGACAATTCCAGAGCTGAGAGGTGACTGGAGCAGAATGGAACTCTTGTTCAGGAGGTAGATATGAAATCTACAAGCTACAAGAACTGCAGAGATCTACTCCAAATAGTGACAGGGAAGAAAAGGAAGTAACAGGCAATTGCTGTAGGAATGCTATCTTTGCCTGTAAGCCAAGTATTTCATGCTTCCATAGATACTAGCATTTCCTTCACCTTCCCACTTTAGTCTCCCTTTTGTTTGTGTTTAGCCAAATTTCTGAAATAACCACAAAATTAATTTTTGTGTATAATTTTTACCTAATGGATGAGCCGAATGGTTTTCTCAGAGCACATTTAACATATTTTCCATAGCTTTAGACCAGCCAGCATCTCATCTCATTCAACACCTGGCACATTTATTCTTCTGAATTGACAGGTTCAAGTTAATCCTTTTATTTTTGAGGGCCGTTTATTAAATGCAGTTAACATGACAAATATAGGCTCTCCATATTTGTAAAGCCAAATCCTAAATCCATATCTACAGTTTAGCTCTGCATTTGCTGGGGTATAAACACAATTAGAATAAGGCATACAAAGGACTTTGCAGCAACATCTTGTTGCATCTAAGACATCATCATGCCCATCATCTTATAAGGTATTTTTCCTCACGATCAGGAAAGGAAACAAAGCTAACAATAAAGGATCTAAGAATACTATGACATCTGAAACAATGGCAATTTGCTTTCATGACCTCTCTCTTTGTAGAGAGCTGAGCAAAACTTCTTAATTTACTGCAGATAGAAAAACTAATTTTTACATGAAGTATGAGCGTTCAGGCTGGTCCAAAACATTTGTATGCACATGCAAACTTATATTTAACTTCTATCTTTTTTTCAACAAAAGTAAATTTAATTGCATCTTTCATTAGGAAAGTCAAGCCATTTCCACAATTACTCACTTCATTCTTCACTAACTGATGTGGGCAAATTGTTTCCTGGGCTTTTTATAAATATAAGAACAATTTTTATACATAAGAACAACGACAAAGAACAAGTATTCTGGCACTGCTGTTGGAACTGGATTCATATTAATGGAAAACCCTCCATGGAGTGGATGACAAACCCTCTCAGAATGAAAGCTTGGCTCTGATACACTGGCTGAGCAGCTGGACACTTCCATATACACAAAAAATCTAGGCAAAGAACAAGAGAAATGGAGGACCTGAGGTGTGGGAAAGCTGTTAACCATCCCATTTCCAAGCAAAAGAGAGAACAAGAGAGAATTAGCATCTTTCTCTAACATGTGCATGCCATTCTGATTTCCTGTAACATCCACACCCCCAGCAGCCCAGTGGGGAAGAGGAGCAGCCTAATCACACTATAATGCTACTAAATACCAACTAATGCTCATTTTTAAGGAAGCCATGGTACATTTCCTCAATTGTAATTCATCCTTCTTCCCACACTTCAGAGAAAGGTTTTATTATGTAGCATTTTTCATTATGACAGACATGAATCCAGGAGAAAGGCCTGCAGTTGCATTCAGCTTTTTAAAACACAACACACTGACTGGTGAGTACAGATATCATTGTCACCCAAAGCCTCTTCACTGTGAAGAGGGTACAGAATGCAGAGAATGGAAAAAGGATCAAAAACAATGTTCAAGGCATAGACAAACTGAAGAAAAAGGTGCTTTGAAGTCTACACTTGTTTTCCTCCCTTTAAAAGTCTATACTTGGAATAAAAGTCACGGGGGGGGGGAGGGAAAGGTCTTCACCCGGTACTGTTTCTAAACTAAGTTCCACAGTTTTGTTTTTGTTAAAAAGAAGTAATTTATAATTTACTACCTGTTCAGGATTCTCAGATCTGTGGTGCTGTTGATAACGGTGCACTTAATTGGCATTATCAATTTTTTAAAAAAAATTAAAAAGCAGCTCTGAACTTTGCTTCTGAGATGGAAGCACTGTCTCTGAACCAGCAATGATTCCTGTCACTCTTGCTTTGCATCTTTCAAGGCCTGAAGTCTTTCTAAAAGGGGTGGGTGGGAGTAATGCCACATTGAAAAGATCCAGTCAGAAACAGGGAATCCTAAATTATCTTTGTTTAGCTTGATCAAAGCAGAATATAGGTCTTTAGCCTTCCCAAGTTCCTTGGCAAATGCATCTGCTTGAAACTCAAACCGTCGGCTTAATACAGTCAAACAAAATGAGAGAACCTGTGGAGAGAAATGTATTAAAAATTATCTTAAAATTCAGCTATCTGCAAATTTCTTACAGTAAATACTACTATATCTACCTTCCCACATCCCACACATCACTGTGGCATTAGAATGATCTCACTAAGGTTTATCCAAGCCACATCTAAAACTGGGATCTTACTCAACATGCAGCACTAACCCTGATTCTTAAAATAAGACACCCAATATGGCCCCTAGAAGCTTCAAACTTCCCCAGTCAAAACAAAATCATTATTTAAATAGGATGATACTTCAGCGTCTACGTCTTGAAAACAATTTACCTCATTGTAAGGTGAAAAAATGAACTGGAAAATAATCATCAAGCCTATCAGGGTAGGCTGGGTGTCATAGAAACCAAATGCAGTAAAGAGTTCTTTTCGGCCAATTAGCACAGCAAACAAGAAGAAGCAGAGGAAGG